TGTGGATATTTGCCTTTTTGGAGATTCCAAAGTCTCCACTCTTTCAAACTCTTTTGTCAAGTGAGTTGAGATTTTTTTTCCTTCCTGTTGGATGTTCTAGGCTAAGGCACTTGCCAATGCTTCAAATAGTTTCCACTGCAGTTCTTTAAAGAGGCAATGGAAAGTTCCAGAAACACAAGAGTTAGAACATTCATTGCACACATTAGGATTATGACTGCACTCAGTAGGGCTACAACTGGCTTCCTCACTGCTCTCACATTACAGTAGACAGTGCTGGGTCCTGACTGATCACCTGATGCATGAATCACCTGTAGTTTTGTGATGGAAAAGTAAGTTTCTTGAACATCAGCCAGACTACAGGAGAGGGGTCAGACAAAACAGCCAGCCTGGCAAGATAGAAATTTTCTTGAAATTCTGGACTTACTGGAATAGCCCATCTTTTCCCATAGTGGGCTGCCTGGCTTTTTGGAATGACCTGGGACTATGCAGTTTCTTGCTGTCTTTGTGCCTGCCTAGCCTCAGGTCTTTATGACAGTTCGTCTCTGAAAACCATCACTGCTGGACTCACTTCATATCCTGGTTACACTGCTGTGGCCCTCAACATTTACATATGTGGTGGTTCAAATGAGAAATGTTCCCCACAGGCTCATGGGTTTAAACACTTGGTCCCCAGCAGGTGGCGCTGTTCTAGAAGGTTATGAAATGTTTAGGAGTTGCAACCTTGCTGGAGGAAGTAGGTCTCTGTGGGTAGGCTTTGGCAGTTTATAGCCCCACCCCACCTCCAGTTCATTCTCTCTCAGCTTCATGTTTGTGGTTGATGATATACTCTAACAGGTTCCTGTCCTACTGCCTGCTTCCAGGTTCCTGTCCCACTGCCTGCTGCCAGGGTCCCTCACCATAATGGACTCTCTCTCTAGATCCACAAGCTTGAATAGACTCTTTTTTTTTCTTAAGTTGCTATTTTTTCAGGATGCTCTCTCACAAACAGAAAGCATCTAATAGGACATCCATGGAATTCTAAGTACTTGTTGGAAACATCGTGAGAGGGTGGCCTAGTCTTCAGTTGTGAACTTTTATTTGTTGGCCTCGGGCTAAGTCAGGGTTTTACTGTTGTGAAGAAACACCACGACCAAGGCAACTCTTATAAAGGTTTACTATCGTCATGGTCTGAATCATGGCATTGTGCAGGCAGACATGATGCTGGAAATAAGTTTCTGCTGCTTTTTCAACTGAAAATTCAATCCCCATGAAAATATAGTTTGTACTATGGTCTGAGATGCACATACAGAAACAAAAGCCCCACAAAACAATGTCCACTCTTTAAAAAACTTTAATATTCTCTATTCTACTCCATGGAATTATTCTAATTCAATGAGAACAATACCTTGTCTGAGAGGATAAGATGGTAGTTCTAATAAAGTATATGTGCGGTGTGTGTGTGTCTGAGAGAGAGAGAGAGAGAGAGAGAGAGAGAGAGAGAGAGAGAGAGAG